CATTCCCGTTTTGCTGGTAAAAGGCTTTTGTCTATAATTGTACTTTCCAAGAAGAACATGAGGTCATTGAATTAGACACAGTAAGAGAAACAATGCCACATTTCCCTACATTGAGGACAAAATATTTAAATTAAAATTTTTAACACAGAACAGAAAATGATCACTAAAAACAGTCCTTTCTATTGACGTGATAAAACTGTATCTCTGAAGTTCTAGAGGCCAAATATCTAAAGAAAAACTCTCAACCTCTTTCCAAAACCACTCTAATGTGTAGCTCTCATTAACATGCTTATATAACATTAAACTGAAACTATCTGATAAGATTTAGTTTCAGTTAAGAAAAAAAATAATGCAATCAGAAGAAGAATGTGCTGGGGCTGGGGCTGGGGCTGGAGCACAGTGTCGGGCACTTGCCCTGCATGTAAGAGGCCCGGGTTTGACATCCAGCATCTAGAAGAAAATCCTGTAAGAGAAAAGAATGTTCTGTAAAAGAAATTACTAAAAACTCATATCCTAATTATTAAAAAATTACTTGTTAGATCTAATTTGTAATTATAGGTTAAAAAACAAACTTCATTCTGTCAACTCACTGAAAACCTTCTCAGAACTCCATCAACAGCCTCTTTAATAAACACCTGCACCCCCAGGAAATGTACAACACCCCATACACACACACACACACACACACACACACACATACACACACACACACATCTCCAATCAAAATCTAGCACAGGGCTTATTTAGTATTTGCCAGGCAATCAAAATAATTTTTATTAAATTATTTAATTATAAAATTAAATTGTATGAAGTCTGATGTGCATAGATAACAAAAGTAGAGCCAATAGTCACTAGGTGTATATTTGTTAAATTCTGAAAATGTTAAGGAAATAACTAAAGGTAAGAAGAAAAAAAAGCTTTCATACCTCTTATTTTCTATGAATTATTTTTTCCTCTTTAGAATGAAGAACTGAGCTACTATATATGCTAAAAATAAAGTTTTGACTGTTTAAAATGTTGCACAGCTAATAGAACTGACTAATGACTCCCTGGTTTCCATAAATCACTTGTCCCCGTCACAGTTAGGTCAGTTTAAAAGACTTATATTATCTTAATGTACTAGTAAATTATGCCTTAATACGGACAAAATTGCCAGCTGGGCCACTTTCCGTAGCTCTGTGACCTTCCATCAGGCATATAGTTACAGCTGCCAGCTGACACGACCATCTCCAAGCCCGGGACTGACTTAGAACCATAAAGAAGAGTGGGTGTAGGCATCTCAGATGAATGTGAAAACAATACAATACAAACAGATAAGTAAGACAGTTGAAAGGATCTGAAAACACCTACCATCGCCCTTTCATTTTAAAGAAGGAAAAACAAAGCATCAGCAAGGTTAAGGAACTTTCCAGGGAAGTACAACCAGCTAGCAGGTCCCCAGACTCCACTGTATTTTCAGACGCCCTACCTTCAAGGCAGCTCTATACAACAGTATATTAACATCCCAAGCAAGTGCGATTCGATATCAATACCGAGCAATTATGACTTTTTCAAGGTCATTCACTAAGAACACACAGAACCTTAGGATATCACAGCAAGAAGACTGACGCTTTAGTGACCTTTGGCCTACCAGATGAGGAATTATCCAGGGGGTTTTAGTGTTCCATTTTTTTCCTTCCGCATTTGCTAGGCTCCTACAATAAATCAGTCCTGGGCACACGAAGATAACAGCATAAGAAACACCGATCTTAGGCACTCACAAGAGGCAAAGAGAAAGGAAAGTATAAATGTAATACAAAAAGAAGGTTATTATTAAAGAAAGAAATAATCACCTCTGGGTATAATAATGAACATCACTTATTAACAGAGAGCTATTTACAACGCTAGGCCACCATGTTAAAACATCTTTATGCCCAGCTTTACCATAATACGACAGAGAATAACCGTTTTCTACATTTTCAGGCCCCCGTGCGTGCGTGTACCCTAATCTGCTCCACAGTCAGAACTTGAATACAGGTTTGTCTGTCCGCAAAGCCACACTCTTGTCTTCCTGCTCAACTGCAACTGTCTCTGCACAGGACTGCACTTAATTCGCCCTCAACCTCATGAAGCAGTGCACCCCGCAGTTCATCATCCTACTCTCCCAAACTACTGCTGTACTTCCCCAAATCAGGAATCGAGGTTCAGAAACCTTACGAAGGAGAAGCGAGAAAAGACCGCGATACCCGGCGTTTCTTCTGCTCACCCTCCTCGCTGTGAGCTTGTGCTTTCTCCCGTTGGAGAATCCAGCACTGCACGCGGGATCGAACTGCATACAGGCTGGGAACCTGCGGGGTGAGCGGTCCCGTGCGAGTTGTCGCTCTGAAGCTACCCGCCACGCGAGCCCCTGGAGAAATGAGTCTGTCCAACAAACCGAGGCTGCCGCACGCACCGGGCACAGGGGCGTGGGCGCACCGGTCACGAAGCACCGCAGGCACGTGGGCACACGGCCAAGCCTGACCCTCCCGACCGCTCCCTGACCACGCCACCTCCTGGCTCCGGCCACACAGTCCTGCCCCCCTCCGTCCGCCCCCCCCCCAGCCTCCCTCACCTCTGGGCGCACCGCCCCCCACTCCTGCCGGTGCCGGGCCCCCGCGCCCAGCGACCAGAGAGACCAGGAGAAGCAGGTGGAGCACGCGCTGCCCCGACGCCCCCACCGCCATCGCCCGCCCGCTAGCGGGAAGGCGGACCCTCCAGAGATGCGGCGCAGGCAGCACGAGAGGACCAACACCACCAACAGGCTCTGCTGCTCCGGCCGCGCCTCCACCCGGGCTCCAGGCTCCGCCGAGCGGTGGCGGTCGGCCCCGCCCACGTCCCGCCCGCAGCCACGCCCCCAAGCCCACCCCGTGCCCGCCCCGTGCCCGGTCCTGCTTGTGATCTGACCCCCGCGCTCCCAGCTCCGCCTTCTCCTCCCAGGCCCCACCCCATAGCCCGGCCCCGCCTGCCCTCCCACCCCTGACCGAGCACAGGTGAGCGCCCTGCAGGCCTCGTACACGCGCAGCGGACACCCAAGTGAGCCCTATCCAGAGAACTAACATTCTGGACTAGCAAGGCGACACGAGACACGTCGTCCTTCCTCTTTGGGCGGGTTTTCTCGCCCTTAAATGAGGAGACTGAACTAGAGGACTTGGACAGCTGTTACTACAGCTCTGCCATCCATTCTGTCATCCACCGAGTGGACCGAGGCAGTGCCATCATGTCGCCGTCAGTTAACGTTAAACATCCGCGCCTTGATCTGCCACAGAGACTTAGGGCGCTGACGGAGATGGACCCTGACAGCTGGAATCGCACCTCAAATCTCTAGGCCCTGCCCTGGATCTCATGCCTCTGTTCCTAATTGATTAGAAAGCTTCATTAGGTTGGAGATTCAAGCAAATTACCCTAAACTGCATGGCAGAGCGTGCACTGACTGTTCACAAAAGTTATGTGGTTGGCACCTCTGAGATGTATCATGAGCCAGACTTGATAAATCTGCTAAAAGTGAAACCTGGTCGCAAAGAATCTCCACAGTAACTTTCTTCAGTTAAGATCTAAGTAGCACCAGGAAAATAAAACCAGTCAGTACCTAAGGAAACTAGTGTGTTTAAGCAGGACATAAAAGAGACACAGAAAAGAGATGCACAGGTGATAGGCAGGCTGGCCATTAATAAGACTTCCGCACAGCACTTAGCAACACTTCATTGCAGATCTATGTTTCTGAAGAATTCACGGCCTTTAGGCACGTGTATAGTTCACTCTGACAGTATTTGGGTGACTTCAGAGTGCCAGTCTGCCGCTACAGCTCAAGGACTTGACAGAGAGGAGTGGATAACTGCTGAAGGTCACAGAACCTATGAGCGGCAAAACTAGAATTAAGTAGTTGTCAGCTAAGCCTTTGTAAGCATAATTGGAACTTGTAAACCTCCCTAGGGTTTTGTATCAATAACCATAGGAAAAAATGGTTATCTGCATAGTCTGTGAAAAACATCGTTACCTGTTGCTTTGTTGTTGTTTAAGTGAAACAGTGTATTATTTGTTGGGCACTTTAAAATCCTAGCAAATAATCACAGAATTTAATGTATGCATCTTGGATGTGTTTTTTTCTTTTTCCCTGGGGTTCCTCATGCCAGTTACTCATAGTTACTGGGTGTGGTGGCTGCACTTGACTCCGATGACCGGCACCTTCTCATTGCTAGGAGACACTGGGAAACCCAGTGCAAGGAAGCCTGCTGCTTATTGCTGCAGCTGTCATCTACAAAGTTCCCCTAAAGTAGCATCTGCCCACCAGTTTCCAAAGGGACTATCCATTTCTTTGTAAATCTTAGGTTCTCTACTACCTTGTTTTCTCCAAAATAAGACCTCGGTGGGAAATAATAAGCCTTGAAAACTAAAGATCAAAAATGCCAGCCCCAATCAACCTCTCCTTGCCTTACCTTACAGAATAACCACTGAACAAGAGAATAGTGATAGCCGTAACGGTCTCAAATCAGGGTCCTGATGTCTTGTCTCAAGTACTCACTCTATGACTTTATCAATTTTCCTGGCTTTAAATCCCACCCATGTACCGACAAAGGTTCATACTCAGGTGCTCACATCACCCCTAGCTCCAGGATACATGACTATGAATTTGACATCATTAACATATGGATGTGCCAGCTAATACATCCTCAAACCACTTTGTCCTCTTGCTTGCCCCATCTGAGACAATGGTTCCACCACCCAAGTCTTTACTAAAGGTAAAACCCTGGAAGTCAGTTACCCACTCTGCTTTACCCACCACATGTGATTCAACATTAAATGTAAGCCAGGCGTGATGTGCATGCCTGTAGGCCCAACACTTGGGAGGCTGAGGCGAGATTTCTAAGAGTTCAAGGCCAATCGAACTCAGCAAGACCCTGTCTCAAAAGAATTTTTAAAAAAAGATTAAGTGCAATTTATCTTGAATTTACCTTGGATTCTTATCCTACTTCTCTTGTCCTCACCTTAGTTTAGATTCCTGATCCAGTCTCTCAGCTGGGTCTCTTCCCTTGCAATTTCCAGCACATTCTGCAAGTGGCAGCCTGAAATAGACACAGAACCCCGAATCCGGGTCATGGTTTCTAGAGGAGCCCCCCTCTCACAAACTCCATATCAACCCCCTCGCCCCATCTGCCTTTACAGCAAAGAGACTTCTTCCCCTGCCTTGCCAATTCCTATTTCTACTTCATCCAGGCCTGTCTCCTCTCCAAAAGCACACCAAGCTGTCTCAATTGGGTCCTCCATACCTTGGCCTGTTAGTCCCCATCACTACCTGTTACCTCTCTTCACTGCACTGCCACAATCTATCATTCAGTTCTCTGTGGTGTGCCTGGCTCCTGACTGCCCCCAGATAAGGGACCTGGTAGCAGCTGTGTTCACTGTATTCCTGAGTGAGACCCAATATACTGAACACACATTAGATGCCCAAAATGTTTTTTGGGTGAATAAATGAATGTTAACTAACAGCTAGCAAATTAAAAAATGGAGAGACTTAAACCTAGGTGACCTCACTTCACGCACTGCACTAAATATCTCTCATGAAACCCCATGCCTAGTCTTTAAAGTAATGCCTAAAAACCACCTGGCAGAAAAATGAACTTAGTGAAGTGTTTACCACGATGTCCAGGAATCCAGTAAAACATACGGCAGTCATTCCCTGACTTGATGTTGCATCGACAAAACTCCTAAATGAAGGGCAACTGGTATACAGCACATGGAAAGGGAATTAGGAGCCCACAGAAAATCTTGCACTGAGCAGGAATCCAAAATAAAAGTTAGTATTGGCATGTGGTGTGGTCTAGTAAGTCATCTTTTATATCAATGTTGTTGTTGGCTTTTCTTTTTTATAATGGGGTCAACTGAGCTAAATTCAGAGCTAGGCAGCTTCTCTGAATTTTCCATTCATCATCTACATTATGATGTACATTCTGCTCTAACCCTTTAAAGATGAAAGCCAAAATGAAAAGTTAATTAAGGATAAAAACGGATGCTGTCAATCTTACCGCTGAAATTAAATACATTTTTATGTATTTAATTATTAATTTTTATGTATTTAATTATTAAAAGAAAAAAGCAAGTATTGATAGAATATTAGAATACAATCTTTCAAAAGAAATTATCTAAAAAGAAAAAAATCTCTTCCAAGGGCTATTGGGACATAATCAAAATGTAATGCAAAAGTGCAGACATATTTTAATTCAGAGAGCTCCAAGAAAGAAAATTAGTTGGCCATATTACATTGTTATAACTAAATACGATAGTAGTACATAAAATCAAACATCACAAAAATATAAGCCATATATAAAGCTCAGCTATCCCAATAGAATTTAATAATATGTTCCACAATGTCACAGATCCAATTACCAATAGAAGACAAAAGTTAGCAAGGATATGGCAAATCAGCTACTATACAGTAAATTATAACACAGCCTGGACAAATATGGCTCTTAGTACAAATGAAGATATTATTTTCATCTTAGAAAGCTCCAGTACAACATCCCTTGTCCTCTAGATGCTAAGATCTTTCAAGATTGAGAGTAGCTGAATCACATTTATAAAAGGATTTTTCTTTTAAAACAAATCTGTTATAAAGTTCTTCAGCAAAGTTACAATTAGTCCCATGTCACTTAACCCCAGGGCCCATGTTTTAAGAAGTATGTCATTAGCGACCTTCACGAGTGGACATCATTGAGTGTATCTATACAAACTGTTACAGCACTGAGCAGTATAATTCCATTGGATCCCTGTCATAGATGCAGTCTACCACATGTATTTAATATACAAGATCTTAGCACAGTTATAAATTTATTAGAATGTTATAAATATGGTTTGGGGACTTAGCTCAGTGGCATAAGCACCTGCCTGGCAAGCGCAAGGTCGTGAGTTTGATCCCTGGTACCAAAAAAAAATAACTTATAATAAATATTATTTCTGGGAGACCAAGTTGCATTCCCGAGAAATGAAGCCCCTTGCCTCCATCTTTACCTTTACTTCATCCCTATTTACTGAGATATGAAGAGCTGACTATACTGAACCAGATGTTCCCTTCATTGGCCAAAAGAATGTGATTAGGTGCTGAAGAGTCTCAGCATTGCAAAGCAAGTCAGAACTCTCTGCTACTGGCGGCTGAAATGGGGTCTTGAGCAAGAGATTCCAGGGATAAGGCATGAGATAACATCTCAGCTGAGGCCATGGGGCCCAAAAAGAATTATACCTTCCTGGCAGTAAAGGTACCAGTCTTGCATGCATCAAGCTAGCTGTTGCATTGCTAATCAGAGGGCCTGTGAGCCTGGTGCAAAAGTACTATTTCTCCTCATAGCCATGCCTGCAAAGTTTCTCTTCCCTAACACTCTGCCACGACCCCCATCCACCTCCCTAACTGATACCAATAAAAGTCATGAGCTCTCAGACTCATTGCCCTTTGTTACACAGAGAGCACTTGGTTACCCCAGAGCCTCAACTACAGAATTTTCCTTTTCTTTTCATCCATGTGCCATATTACCAGGTGGGGGACTGATACCCTCTGTGAGGAGTTTGGTAATTATTGTTACATGATGTGTTCGCAATAAATGATGCACTATTATAAACTTGTTTTTTAGTGGCAGCAAGGTTTTATGTTTATTAAAGATAGGAAAAGAAATAGGCTCTGCAGAGTGAGTTTGAGCCAAATAAAAGTAATGGAAAAATATATCATGAGGGTGGATATTGCAAAAGAACACAGTAGCCATTACTATAAATTCAAACAAGAAATGTGTACCCTTTTAAGAAAGATAAGTATTTAATATTGATAAGAAACAATTGTAAATGTTTGATTCTGTGAAAAAGACAGAACTTAAATATTCTTACCTGATATGAAGTTTGTATCACCCTTACACTTTTTATTCCAGACATGGGAGGTTTTTTTAGATATGGCTACATATGCCGAAAAGTAAGTCCAAAGTACAAGTTACACTTCAGGTAGAGACCACAAGTGTTCTAGGTGCTTACACCTGCACACATTTTAGTATTTAATTCACTGATGGTCACTTTAATTATTTTCAGATTATTTGTACTTCCATCCAGAAATATTATGAAATTCTGATCTTCAAAAACACATGTGTACGTGCACACATACACACACGCGCGTGCATGCAGCTGAGCATGGTGGTACATTCCTGTGAGCCCAGAAGGGACCCAGCATTAAGAAAGCTGAGGCAGTTTGAGGGCAGCCTGGACTACATAGTGAGTTCACACCAGCCTGAACAACGTATTGAGACTCTGCTTCAGAAAAAACAACAACAACAAAATCAAACTCAAACACATTTCATTTACACATGTAATTTATGAAGCATCATACAATGCTTTTAAGAGAACTAAGGATATAACAAAACCAACATGGAGCTGCTTTTCTGAAATGGTTGGAATCTCTGCTCTAATTGTACACTCTAATTTATTTAGTGAAGGTTCACTTTCTCATCTAGCTTCATTTCCCATGTAGTAGTAATGGACTTCAACATTCCTATATGGAAAAGAAATTAGACCAAATGAGCAACTTCTTAGAAAATCAAAGAGCTCCCTGGGAAGGTCAGAGCAATGCCTGGCCATTGATTGTTTCAGACAATTGATTATCTTCATCTGAGTCACCTGATTCAGTCTCTTAACGTTGGAAAGCCTTGGTTATTCCCTGGTCCACACAGCTGTCCTGGGTCCTTAACTGCTATTAAAAGCCACATCTATTTCTGTTCTTCTTTAACAGGTCTGATTCATGTTAGGATTTTTCCATTTTTGAAAACTGGGAAACACTTGTAGCTACCTATATGTAGAAGCATATTTTGATCCTCAGTTATATCTGGTTTCCTCAGTTGTTAGTAAAACAGAATTGAAATTGCTTTTTTTTTTTTTTTTTTTGCCACAACATGTTCTTTCCAATGCTTAGCAGGACAATAAATCAGCGAACAAAGACCATTCTTGGTATGTTTCAAAGTGTGTAGTCTTTTGTTTGGTGTCAGATACACATGGCTTTGAACGCTCCTCTGTTACTTCCTAGCTATTCATTCCATAAGTATTTTGAGAATCTACTGTATGGCAAATTCTAAAGATGAGGCAGTAAACAAGACAGCAAACGTCCCTCCCTTCATGGAATTTACTGCCTAGGTGAGGAAGGCAGACAGCAAACAAGATGACTCCAGAATTTACAGGAAATATGTAGAAGGTACTGGTATAGCAATTGAGGATTCTACTTTAGAGTGGCTGCTCAAAAGATGTCTGGCAGGTTGACTGAGTTAGGACCAAAGATGGACAAAAGATCTACCTCCACAGAATGCAGGGGAAAGAGCTTTCCAAGTAGAGGGGATCCTTGAGGTGAGGACTCTGAAACCTGAAAGAGCAGGCCATGAGGGATCGTGGGAAGAAAGAGGGAAGAAAGACAATATAAAACACCATCGACAGCTAAAACAAGCAGGGAAAGGGCCGGCTGTGGTCAGGATGATGAGATGGCTTCAATTCCAAGGACAAAGGGAATTTTCCAAAATGGCCATGGCCATGTTTTGCTTTTGTAATCAGAAGATGTAACTTATTAGGTCATTAAGGACTTGAGGGATAATTGTCCAGCTTCTCCCATTCAGCATCATTCTGAATTTTTCAGCATATGTTATTATGTAAGGTTCTTAAGGAAAGAATCTAAGACTTGGCTTCTCTTCTTGTTAGGTATAAAAGAACTTACAGAAAAAATTTCTCCTGCCAGGATGAAAGGGAAGTGAAAATCCTCAACAACTGTGAGACCTACTTTAGTGATAACTAACAAAATCATACACACTTATTCAAATGATGAACCCATTTTCCACTTTCACAGGGCTCTTATAGGAAAGAAGGAAAAGTCCACTTCTTTTGAAATGTCTATCACTTATATGAATATACAGTATGAAAATGGACTAAAAACTAAACCAAGATGTAACCCCCATATTCTTCATTTAGGTATATATCCAAAATAAATTAAAACCCATGTCCACAAAAGAACTTACGCCTGAATGTACTAGCAGCATCATTCATAGTAGCCATAAAGTGGAAACAACCAAGATATCCATCAACTGAGGGATGAACAAAAAGGTGTAAAACAATAACAATAAAAACCATACTATGGAATATTACTGAGCATTCAAAAGAAATATATCTATAATCTGTTAAACAAGTAAATCCCTGATACAGACTATTTTGAACCCCAAAAACATTATGGTAATTGAAAGATGACAATCACAAAAAGTTACGCATTATATGATCCCTTTATATGCAGTTTCAGAACTTTAGAGACATAAAGGAGATTTGTGGTTGCCTAGGGCAGGACAGGGATTTGAGATGATGGCAAAGGGTTCCAAGGCTTCTTTTGCTAGCATTTGGAAGGCTGAGGCAGGAGGATCACAGTGAGTTTGAGGCCATCCTGGGCTACACAGTGAGTTCAAGACCAACCTTAACTGTATAGTGAGACCCTGTCTCAAAAAGCAAAAGCAAAAGCAAAATAAACAAACAAACAAACAAATAAAATGAGCAACTTCTAAGTAGTCTAAATAATGGAATTAAAGTTTCATAGTTAATTTAAACAGTGCTCTTAAAAAGTAGATTAACAGGTCAAGCATGGTAGTGTAAGCCAGTAATGCCAGCTTCTTATTAGGAAGTTGAGGCAGAAGGATGACAAATTCAAGTCCAGCCTGGGCAAGCCTGTCTCAAAAAAAATTATATTTGTATTTAAAGTGTGTGTTAAAAGATAGTAAAACTGCAAATTTGCTATATGTTTTGTCTTGGGGAAATATCTTTATATGCATTATACTAACAAAAAGAGCTGCAATTGATAACTTTGCATATAAATACAAAAAACTCCTTCAGTGTATCAACATCAAAAATGAAAATATAGAAGCTAAAATGAGAAAACATTTGCAATGTAAATGACAAAGAGTTATCCTTAAAAGAACTCATAAATGAATTTTGAGAACTTGAACACTCTCATAGAAAACTGGGCAAAGGAGATGAACTGGTAGTGCACAAAAGAATACAAATGAACAAAATCTGGAAGAAAAACTGGAAAAAGCTTTTGACATGGTCATACCCTAACGTGAACACTCAATGCTGTTTATAGAATTGTATCTGTCTCTACTTGTTTTCGAGGTACAATAACAAATCAGACCCTGGGAAGCGTCAGTTCATCTGATCACACAATGCCTTTTTGGATCAGATTGGAGCAGGTCTGACTGGACCTTGGCCATCCTTCGCCCTCTTTCCTGTCACGCCTACCAGCATCCCCTCTGGTCCCTTATCTGTTTTCCTTGCCTATTTCAATAGCCTTCTGTCTCCTTCCATGTAATCTGTCTTCTGGACTCCCAATTTAAACCAATTAATTTCTTTTTTAAAATTTTATTAGTACATGTTTTCAGGACATCATGGGGAACGGGCACATGCACGAAGCATCTTATTTCTTTTTGCATCCTCTTCCTTATTCCTCCTTGCTCCATCCAGCTCTTGGTCCCATTTTCTTTTGTGAAAGATCTGTTTTTTGTTATGTAACTTTAATTTTGCTCTTTATTCATACTTTGGCTTTCTCATATAACAGAAACCATGCAGTATATAAGATTGTCTGTTTAGTTTACTGGACATTATGGTCTCAGGGTGCACAGATTTTCCTACAGACGTGTTTAACTTTTATGGCACAATAGTACTCCATAGTGTATAAATAACACTTTTTCTCATCTGTTGATGGACAGAGACTGCTTCCAAGATTAGCTATGCTGAATTATGCAGCTATAAATATGGGAACTGTGCTTCTTATTCTCTGGAAAATCTCAGTGACCTCTGCCTGGTAGAGAATACAAAATTGTTGACTCTAGGACCTGCATCTGGTGTTGTCACCCATCTTCCCCAACATGCTGTGCTCCAGCCTCACTGCAAGCAGGTTTTTCATGATTGTGTGATAGTGACACTCCACACTGCCATGCCCCGACCCCTCCAGTCCCTTTCTTCCCTTCCTAGCCTTCATATACAGCTCTGGAACCTGCATTGCTTCACAGTCATGAATGGCGATTCCAACCACCTTGCCTTAAGGACCTTGGGTTAGAAACTGAGGATGCCCCACTTGTCATGTGTCCCCAGCACCAGGATCACCAGAAACACCGTTAGTGTCCCATAGAAAAGGGAATTTTTTTTTTTTTTAACGTGTGGTGTATTTTTGTACTGCTAAAACAAATCCTTTTGTGGAACTTTCAAGGTGATAGACTGTAAAAGCTCTGGAGCCTTGAAAAAAACACCAGAAATAAAGTTGTACACGTGAATTCATAATTTTTTAATTTTTAAAATACTATTTGAAGTTGTTCAAAATTAAATAAACTCAACATTTTGATTTTAAAGATTGACTGAAGATGTAAAATCTAGCTTTCCTTGGTTTCCTGTCTGTCTGTCTGTCATGGTACCAGGGATTGAGTAGAAGGGTCTTCATAATAAGCTCTATTACAGGCTGCAGCTGTAAAGCAACAAATAAATCCCACGTTTTGCGGTGGCCTCTCTGTACCTCCTCTTTTGCTTTCATTCCCAGTGTTAATTAGCACAAGTGAGTATGTTGAAAATTGTCCATCCTTAGTGTCAAGTTCTGAAGAGTTGCTCCTAATGTGTGGTGAAATGTCCTGGGCCAGTAACAGTGAACCTTTCAGAGATCGGGTACCCAAACTGCAACCCAAGACCCACTTATTTATCACGAAATGCTAACACTGCGATTAAACCTGAATGCTGAGGTTTTAGGTTAGAAAAAACTCCTACACGTGACTTGGCTGCTGACAGAGAGGGTTCTGCGTGCCCCCAATGGCACGCATGCCACAGGTGTCACATGTTCGTTGCCACTGTGGACTTCTAGACATTGTTCCAACTTTAGGGTCCTGAAGGGTGGATACAGAAACCTGGTTGGGAAAGGGGTTTATAGGATTTTCTTCCAGCACATGGAGACTCTCATCGGAAGTTTGTTACCTTATGTGCCTCAGTTTCTATTCTTGGCACTGGGACACAGATACGGAATAAAAAACAAAGTTGCTTCTATGAACGACCTGCTCCACTGGGGTGATAGAAAGATATCCCAGCTGGTAATGAGTGCTACAGGGGAAGCGCAGCACGGAAAGGGACCTACGAAATAGACTGCTCCTAGCGGAAGGCACAGAGGCCAAGGAGACACAGGAGTGGGCAGCACAGACACCGGCACAGGGCACCCCCGAGGCAGCTGGCCTGGCAAAGGCACAGGCCGTTCAGATGTATGCTAGTAAGGGAGACCTGGTGGTCACACAGCAGGGTCACAACAGAGGGTGTGTCACAATAGATGCAAAGAACTTGATGCTTCCTGGAGACAGGAAGTTATTGGAAGTTGTTGGGCAAAGCAGCGGCATATTATGTACTTGAAAAGCACCTCAATGGCTGCTGAGTTAGCTGCATGGAGGGCAGGAAGTGGAAGCAGGAGGCCCGCTGGTTGGCTGCTCTAAATGTCTGCACAAGAGGGAGGCTGTTGGAGTCTTGGACTGGCTCACCCCTGCTCACTCCAGGGCAAGTGGCTTGCTCTCTACCTACTGGTGACAAGACTGAAGGAAGTTCATTTTAAGATGTACAACCAATCCTCATTAGCAGATTATTTGGTAACTCACAAAAATTTCTTCATAACCCTGTATCAATACTTGCAGTGAGGTAAGAGAGAAAAAACACAAAGAAGACATGAAACTCAACTTTTTGTGTTACTACCTCGAAACTGGGTTGGACCCCTATTTGGCTCTTCCTGCAGGCGTGTTAGTCATGTAAAGAGTATGACAAGGTTTACTAGCCCTGCATTACCTAGTCTGTCTCATCCCTGCTTCATACTGAGAATCCCACAAAGAGAGCTACCAGGCAATGTACAGGATTTACAGGGACACCCAACTGCCAGCTTTTACAATGTCCAGTTCCAGACCCTTCTGGAGTGATGCCCAGAAGTCTCAGAGCCAACAGCCACCTCAGATTCCAGGAAAAACAAGAGCCAGCAGACCCCCATGATATCACCCTCCCCAAGTGGGGCCAAAGACCCCACAATGGGAGCGAGGCCAGCCCCTCCTAAGTAGGAACATTCCTCTCTTGGACAACACACTGGGCCCAGGCCTTGAGGCTTCCTCTGAGATAATGAAGGCACACCCTGGCCAGCTCAGACAATCTGTAAAACCTGGTCTTGCCCATTAGGGAGTGGTGGCCCGAAGGTCTGCACCAGCATAAGCCCCTTGAGTTAACATATTGGGTCCTTGCCCTACCCGTCACCTTTTTATTTTCCTAATGTCTCACCTCACTGCACCCTAAGATTCTTCTGTCATGTTAGTCAAGAATTTATCTGGGCCAAACTGAGGTTCCCATCTCCTCTCTATGGGACTCTCTCTGGTGACAGCAGTGCTTTGTCATTTGCTGATATGCACAGGATGGTGATTTTTTGAGTAGCCTGTGGAGTATGATCCTGAGGTGTAACAATGACACTTTGCCTTCTGGTTTCTATCTCCAAACTATATATGCAGTGGGGTAGGGGTGGGGGCTAGCATTTGGCTTGTGTCATGTTTTTTGCATTCTTTTTCCTGGCAACTTCTCAGTGCAAGGTGATGCTCAAGTACAGCGCTGAGGTACTGTTGTGTTCCCATACACATGGTCTGCGATGGGCCTTGCAGAGAAAGTTCTCAGGCACAATGCTGTTGCCAAGAGCTGTTAGCCTAATCTGTGCGAGTAAAAACACACTGGAAATACACAAACTGATGACAATGCTGTGACCATAAGCCTGCAGGAGCCCAGCCCAGGGCTTCCCGCAGTGTGACAGCTTCATACCTCCCATAGAGACCTCACCCTGGCTTGCTGGATGGTGAAAGGGACCCAGGCTCCTGCCTCTGCTCCAAGCTACACCCTAGTCGGGATGCTGACTGGAGAAAACAACTACTAGAAATAATGTCAGCTGTACTATGTTTCCCAAAAAGCAGTCACCAAGGCTTGGGTACACAGCCCCCACGGAAAACTGTAAGAAACTGCTCCTAACTGTTCCTAAGTGCGCTGCAGTGGCTGAGACGGGAATAAGACTGAGTTAAACTCCTGCTCCGGTTCCCACTCCGCTGCAGTGCAACCTGGGTCCCACCTCAGATGGCAGAGTTGACATGGATTTGTCTGGACAAAAAAGTTTTAAATCTCCCCAGGTGATGCGAATATGCAGAGCCTGTTCTCAGACTTTGGTGCACACAGGAGTCCCTCAGCTGTATCCCACCCCGATTCCTAGCAGATCACAAGTGAGAAAGCTGCAGGTCCATGAACTACACAGTAAGGGCTCAGTCTGGATCACTTCAAAGCCTGCCAGTGAGGCTCCCACACACCTGCTGGCCTCTAAGTTCCACTTTCCTTGGGCTGCTACCGGGCAGCCTCAGTCCTAGCTGCAGAGCCACCACACTCCTCCCTCACACGTTGTCCCCAGTCTCAGAAAGGTTCCTGGGTCTAACTTCAACCATAAGTTAATCCTTACTCGATGGCAGTGTTGGAAGGGACACAGAAAGTTAGGGTGGGGGTGGGGTCTTGCTGAAGAGACTGGGTCACAGAGCTATGTCCTTGGGCAAGACATCTTGTCCCCAGGGCCTGCCCTTCCTCCTCCTGGCTGCCCAAGGTGAGCAGCTTTCCTTCACCACACCCTCTCTGGGTATTCCTGTCCTGCCACAGGTCTACAAGGAACCAAGTCAGTGAACAAGAACTGCACCCTTTGTAACGGAGTGAAAATATACCTTTCCTCCTTGTCAGGCATTGTCACAGCAACAAAAAACTTACACACGCGAGCACACGCCGTACACGCATCAATTCTGACTCTGCTCAGCCCTCACGCTAGTTCTCAAGCCAATCTCTAGACAGGAACATGTCTCAGCATGGGTAACTCAGTCAGCCTGAGAACCACACCCACTGTGGTGGGTCCCACAGGAACATCAGCTCAGTATATATAACACATGAAAAAGAGGTAGTAAATATCAGCCCTGGCATTATTGCTGCAGAGAACTTTTTCCTTCACTATTTCCATTCTTCCCAAATTTTATTCCAAAAAAGGGGTCTGAGATTGAAGATGGTTTTTTTCTTTTTTTGGTAAAAAAAGGCTTTCTTGGACTCAGAATTGGACGACGTCTACACTGAATGAGTGCCCCACGTGAGTTACGAAATCCTGGATTCTATCTCCTACTTATCCTTTTCTTTCTGTTCTTTTTCTTTCTTCTCACGCTCAGCTTTAGCTTCTTCTTCCTCATATTTTTTGATCAACTGTTCCACTTCCTTCTGCTTGAGAACTCTGATCACCGTCTTCCCATTCTCTCTGGTTAATGTGGCAATTTCCACTGAAAACAAACATAACTGTATTAGAGGCAGGAGGACTCAGCGAGCAAACTCTGTATGTACCAGGGCTTATTCTCCTCACAGTGCTTAAATTTTCTTCACTGCTTTCCTGCTTTTTAAACAGGATTCACAGATAACTTTTACAGAAACAAAATAACAATGCTCTCACATTGTTCTGAATATCATTTTTGCCTACACATCTTCCTCCTCACCCACCCCAACTTTCTCAGCAACCATCTGCCATTCCCTTGGGACAAGTGCAATCAGCACTGTTCTGCTGGCCTGCTGTTAGGTGAGTCAATCACAGGACCCATATTCTCCTTGCTGGATGTCCTGAGGATGCTCAGCTAGTAATGATGCTTCTTCTAGGGACTTTTCATAATAATGGTTTTGTGAAAAACAACTTATATGGCTTTGGCTAAGAAAGGTAGACTAATACACAAAAAGGAAGGATTTTCTGCAGATGGCTTCCTTGAAATTAGGGGCAGTCTATAAGTAAATGGCATTTTCTAAACAGCAGTAGGCTAGGTGCTAAGTTATCCTACACTAATGTGTTAATCAACCACAAATTTTGAAAAATGTTATTTAGAACTGTTATTTTATATAGCCATACAACTTAAGTTGACTGGAGCATCTGAAATTGCTAACATGAGTTTAAAGTAAGAGACTAACAGATCTAGAAGAACAGGACATGATCCAGATAAAACATATCAGATCTAAGTAGCAATACACCAATCTTAC